ACTGATAGCAGTGACCAATCGACAAAGGATCGATGATAATCAAGGCCTCAAAGACGGCCTTTTGTGGTTAATAATGAGCAATAAATGAAGAACAACAACGAATAATGAATGAACAATGAAAGAATAAGCAATAAATGTAAAGAACAATAGTGATAGTAAAGAGCAGAGAATGTTGTGTTGTATTCAATGTATTGTGTGAAAATTATCTGAGAGAGTTTACAAGATGACAAGGATCCCCTTTATATAGGAGGGCTGAATCCCAACATAGTACATGTCTAATAAATGGAGAATAAATGCTACTAGTAAAACTGTATAATAGTTTAGTAGATTGGTACTATTCTTGCAGACTCTGTTAGTTCTCATCGTGTGCCCTCGGGGTTTTCTCGCCTTTCCATGACGATCATCGACTCGGGTTGCTCCGAGATCGACCTTCGATGTGCCCCCTCAAATAGGGCGATTTGGGGTCCGCCTTCAAGTCCCACTCCGAGCTCCTCGAGGTCAAGCGTGGAGTGCCACAGTAGCTTCAAATTCGAACTCTCTGATTTTGGCCGTATACAAGAGTATTGACGAAAGATGCGCATATTAAGCGAAGATGGCAGGATTACTTCCACCGTCTTAGGAATGAAGAAGGGGACATAGACATTGTGCTAGGGGAAATAGGTCACTCCAGGAGTCACCAAGACTTTAGGTATGGCGTATTAAGGCTGAGGAGGTCGTAGGAGTTATGTGCAAGATGAGTAGGGGCCGAGCGACCGGGCCGGACGAAATTCTGGTGGAATTGTAGAGGTGTGTGGGTAGAGAAGGCTTAGAATGGTTCACTATGCTATTTAATGTTAGCTCCAAGACAAATAGGATGCTAGATGAATGGAGGTGGAGTACGATGATACCGATGTACAAGAACAAAGGTGAGATTCAGAATTGTAACAACTATAGGGACATCAAGTTACTAAGTCATACCATGAAAATTTGGGAGAGGGTGGTGGAAGGAGGGTGAGGAGGGCAGTGTCTACATCCGACAACCAATTCGGATTCATACCGGGTCCGTCCACTACGAAAGCTGCCCACCTTATCAGGAGGTTGGTGGAACAGTACAGGGATAGGAAAAAGGATTTTCACATGGTGCTTATTGACCAAGAGAAAGCCTATGACAAGGTTCCTAGGGAGGTTCTTTGGAGATGCCTGGAGGGGAAAGGTGTGCTGGTAGCTTACATTAGGATATTAAAGGACATGTATGAGGGAGCTAAGACTCGGGTTAGGACTGTGGGAGGTGACTCGGAGCACTTTTCGATTGTTATGGGGTTGCACCAAGGGTCTGCACTTAATCCGTTCTTATTTGCCCTGGCGATGGATGCGCTAACACACCATATTCAAGGGGAGGTGTCATGGTGTATGTTGTTCGCTGATGATATAGTACTGATTGATGAGATGCAAAGCGGCGCTAATGAGAGGTTAGAGGTTTGGAGATAGACCCTTGAGGCTAAAGGTTTCAAGTTGAGTAGGACTAAGACAGAATATCTGGAGTGTAAGTTCATCGATGAGTCGAGGGAAGCGGACATGGATGTGAGGCTTGACTCACAAGTCATCCCTAAGAGAGGAAGTTTCAAGTACGTTAGGTCAATTATTCAGGGGATGGGGAGATAGACGAGGATGTCACGCACCGTATAGGAGTGGGGTGGGTAAAATGGAGGTTAGCATCTGAAGTCCTGTGTGACAAGAAAGTACAACCGAAACTCAAAGGCAGGTTCTATAGAGCGGTTGTTAGACCGGCCATGTTGTATGTGGCTGAGTGTTGGGCAGCCAAGAATAATTCTCATACCCAGAAGATGAAAGTGGCAGAAATGAGGATGTTGAGATGGATATGCGGACACACTAAGCTGGATAAGATTCGGAATGTAGATATTCGAGAGAAGGTGGGCGTGGCTCCCATAGATGACAAGATGTGGGAAGCGAGGCTTAGATGGTTCGGGCAAGTGCGGAGGAGAAGAATAGATACCCCGGTTAGGAGGTGTGAGCGGTTAGCATTGGCAGGTACGAGGAGAGGTAGAAGACGGCCTAAGAAGTATTGGAGTAAGGTGATCAGGCAGGACATGGCGCGAATACAAATTTCCGAGGACATGGCTCTACATAGGAAGGGGTGGAGGTCGAGCATTAGTTTTGTAGGTTAGGAGGGAGTCGAGCATTTTTTCTTATTGTTGTTCCGGGGGCGGGGCTGGCCTGTTGATGTTTTGCTGTGGGTTGTTAGTGGTTTATGTAGTTTACTCACTATTTCCTAAGGTAGTATTGCTGTTTATTGTTATTGCTTTTACATCTATTTTTCTATTTCTTACGATGAGACGCGGGGTGGCGTTAACGAGAGGCTGGAGGTCTGGGGACATACCCTGGAGTCTAAGGGTTTCAAGTTAAGCAGGACCAAGACAGAATACTTGGAGTGCAAGTTCAGCGGTGTTACCCAGGAGGCGGATGGGGATGTGAAACTCGATACGCAAGTCATTTCCAGGAGAGAGAGTTTTAAGTATCTGGGATCTATAATTCAGAAGGATGGGGAAATAGATGAGGATGTCACACACCGTATCGGAGCAGGGTGGATAAAGTGGAGGCTTGCTTTCCGGTGTCTTGTGTGATAAGAATGTGCAGTTGAGACTTAAGGGTAAGTTCTACAAGGTAGTGGTTAGACCGACTATGTTGTATGGGGCAGAGTGTTGGCCAGTCAAAAACTCTCCTGTCCAGCAGATGAAGGTAGCAGAAATGAGGGTGTTGAGATGGATGTGTGGGCATACTAGGTTGGATAGAATTAGGAATGAAGTTATTCGAGACAAGATGGGAGTGGCCCTTATGGAGGCAAAGATGCGTGAGGCAAGGTTGAGATGGTTCGGGCATGCTAAGAGGAGAAGCGCAGATGCCCCTGTCAGGAGATGTGAGAGGTTGGCCTTAGGAGGTGAGAGGAGGGGTAGAGGTAGGCCAAAGAAGTCTTGGGGAGAGGTGATCAGGCGGGATATGGCACTACTTGAGCTAACCGAGGACATGACTCTAGATAGAAGGGTGTGGAGGTTGAAGATTAGGATAGAAGGTTAGTAGGTAGTCATGCATCTCCCTTTATCTTCTCTAGCTCGATAGTATTAGCGCTAGTACGGTACCCTTTCTTCCTTAGTTAGCTATATTTGCATGTCTCGTTTCATTGTTACTTGCCATTGGTAATTCCGTAGTTTGCTAGCAGTACTTCGTTCATATTCTCGTCTGCTGCCTTGGAATTAGTTTTCTAAATATGTTATATTGCTACTACTTGTTACCAGTACCCCTTTCATATTATCTGTTGCTATCTCCGATTTAGTTTTCTAATTATTATTTTGCTATTACTTGCTAACAGGGATTCTCTCACCTTCTTTAGCCGAGGGTCTATCGGAAACAGTCTCTCTGTCCTTCCAGGACAAGGGTAAGGCTGCGTACATCCTACCCTCTCCAGACCCTTATTGTTGTTGTTGTTGTTTGTTACTATTTTTATAGCTTCTATTGTTGTCTCTGATCTATTGTCTATTGTCTATTGTTTATTTTTCTTCTTCTCGAGCCGAAGGTCTTTCGGCAACACCCTCTCTATCCCTCCGGGGTAGGGGTAAGGTCTGCGTATGCTCTACCCTCCCCAGACCCTACTTGTGGGATTTTACTGGATTGTTGTTGTTGTAAGAGTCTCTATATAATTCAAATAAGAAAAATTTAATAGTCAAAATTTTAGTTAATATTAATGTCCTAAATATTAGAAAATACTAATTAAATAATAACTTTTTCCAATATGATACTATTTATTTTTAAATGATAAAAAAATCGATCAATTTTAGTTTGAAGTTTCATTATTTAAAAATAGTATAGATAGATTTAAAGAGACAAACTAAAAGTAAAGTGAAACATTTTCCTATATTTTTTAGTACGCTTTAATTTTAGTCTCGCATCGATTTACCACATAATTGTAGATACTAAGTGTAAGTAAAATTGCTCTTCAAGAAAATAACTCATAGATGCTAGAAGAATTATTATGTTGTTCATAGGAATCCAATTGGCACCATTGTGATGTCGCCAATTGCCATATATAAACTACTGCAAGAGAATGTGTTCAAATTTTGTACTAAACGTTGGAACCATATAAAAATGTCCCAAATAAGTCCCAATTTATCAACCTCTAACGGTCTAACAATCAATCATAGACTTACCAAAACTAACCAAGCACACAAAAAAATTAAAAACCCAAATAAATAAGGTTCTTTCTCTCCAAGAATCACACGCAAAGATCTCCTTCCATATTTTTAAGCGTGATTAGCAATATTAGATGCAAGATGAAAAAGAAATTTTATGGATGAGGTAGCAAATAAGGTTATAGTATATAT